GTGAGTGAGTGAGTGAGTGAGCGTGAGTGAGTGAGTGAGTGAGTGAGTGAGTGAGCGTGAGTGAGTGAGTGAGTGAGTGAGTGAGCGTGAGTGAGTGACTGAGTGAGTGAGCGAGCGAGCGAGCGAGTGAGTGGAGGAGGGAGCGAGGAGGACGGAGGGAAGGAAGGAAGGAAGGAAGGAAGGGCGGATGCGGGCGAGATGGCAGCCAACAAAACTAGAACCCCACACAGAGATGTGGGGAAAAAGATATCTTTCGCGGATCTTTCGCGGCCTCATCGCGAAGCATGGTCCTACAACCATGTCTAGCCAACAGGAGCCGGAACATGTCATAGTATCACAAAATAGGGAGAGACATCTTGCAGCATGACCCCAGTAGATGGTTGAACGTTTCCACAGCTACTCAGGGTCACTTGCAGCATCTGTTCGACAATTGTGCCAAATAGAGTCAGGCACAACTCAGCCCAATCCTCGTGCCAGCTACCAACACAGGGTGATACAGCTTGGGGAATGTTGGGGGGCCTCAAGCTGGGAGCCTAGACTTTAGCGGCACATTCGCGAAACTTTCGCGGATCTTTCGCGAAATTTCACTGGTGCTTTCCCCGGGAAGCCGTAACATTTGCAAACATCTGCGCAGCCCGTCAGAGCAGCTGCAGGTCGTTGCCTCACTGTCAGGGCTGTGCCTACCCAGATTGCTAGCCTGTGACAGTGGGGACAGGAATCGGAGAATCCTTTACGCACTGCCAGGGCTCGGCACGGAAATGTTGAGGCTTCAGTTCGTTAGTCTGTGACATATGGGGACACTTCCGCCCACTGGCTCTGCCGGAGGATTGCCTTGCGTTTCTATTCTTTGTCAGTCCGGTAGAAAGAAAAACAATGAAAGCGATGACCTTCGATAAATCTTTCGCGGAAAAAAAAGATACTTTCGCGAACCTCATCGCGAATCTTTCGCGGATGGTTCTAACAACATCTGAAAGGCTGTTTTATATAAAACTCCTTACACGGGGTTTTCGATCAACTCCCATATATTTATATTGTATTATATCGATATATCAAGGGTCCGTCTCCCGTCTCCACCATCTCGGTCTTTCAGCTCTTTCAAAAACGGATCCTGAGATCTTTCGGCTCCGGCGCCGTTCTTTCGTGCCACGCGTCCACGCGGCTCCCGTCGCCTTCGGTTTGGCACTGAGCAGCTTGTCGATCCCACGAGCCGCGAGCCTCGGAGAGCGGGAGCGTTGAGGGGCCTGGGCAAGTCGGTATGAGGTAGTATAAAGTGGAATGTAAGCAGTACGGTGTGGCCAATCGCAGTTTTGAGGGATTCACGAGTTCTGATCCCGCTGGGCAAAGGAGATGAATGAACAAATTTAATGTTGGGACACACAAAATTAGATGTTGGGAGTAAGCACCAAGGAGGGTCGCAGGGATAGCAGGGTATGACCCGGTGCGACGACAAGAGAGAAAACTATATAAATGCGTGTTGGGCACACCCAGACGTGGTCATGGCGAAGTAGAATCTCAACGTGAGCCTATCAAAGCCGCTTGAATTTGAAAATCGTCAAAAATGCAGTTTGCCACCGTGGTCATTGCTCCTTCGGTGAGTCATAGCCAACATAGGGAAAGGTTCACGTGGTCCCATTCAGATGTTTCTGCTCTCGTCACTCCCCGTTGGCTGAGAGGCCCGGCAACTCTTGGTCGCGGTCGACGATCTCTGGGTGAAAGCTAGCTAGCTCACAGTAGACGTAGCTTTGCAACAGCTGAGCAGCGAGTGGCGCGGCTGGGAGACAAGCATTGCTCGGAGTTTGGAGCTTCAAGGGCTCCGAATCACCATCGACATCATCAAGCTTTGGCTGACAAATCCATCGCTGAACTGCTGACCAAACATTAGACAATGACATCTTAGAATCCAACTCTAAACCAACTCGGGTTGTTGGCTTGTCGGAAAAATGAGGATGTTGGCTTGTTCAGGACTTCATGTCATTCATGTCTGTCAATTCTTGGGGGTCTGGGGAACCGAGTTGACCCAAGTCTTGGCCCAGCAAATCCGAACGTCGAAAAACAACGACACAAACGCCCATGACACGACAGGCGCACCGGTTTGGTGGGCTCAAAGTTGTCAAAGCTCCAATCAATCTTCTTGCTACCTCGTAGGTTGAAGGACCAGCGCTGCCCAAAAACGGGGGGCCTGGGTGTATATTGAAGCAGGGTGACCCGACCCAAGGCCTTAAACTGAAACACTGCTTGGGAGTCTGCTTCCTCAAGTTGGAGGATTCCCGGCCATCAGGGCTCACAAGTTGAACGATGATAGGGGGGACTTAGATAGAAACTGGATGATTCTTCTGGAAACAAAAAATGTCGGACATTAAGGAGAGAACGAAACATCCAGGAAAAAGCACAGTTTCTTGGTCTTAAAGGCTCTTCCAAATTGGGCAAGGGCGGAATTAATCCCAAGGTCCCAAGGCTCTCCAGGTCTGTCAGCAAGCTTGAAAATTCCAGGCAGAGCGGGTGAAAACCGACAGGCGGGTTCACCATGTGTCCGGGGATGCAAAGAACTCTGGGGCAAGCATACCAGTTTGTACCTTGACATGTTGTCTTGCCTATGAGGTTTGCCTTGTGTCTCTGTAGTTACATATGTGCATTGGACGATGATAACCATGAAGTTTACATCTTTGTGTTCAGAAACTCTTTCTTCCCCCAAAAAAGTGGTGCCCCCCTGTGCTTGAGACCCCAGCAAGTATCATGGACCATGTCCTCCTCGTCAAACAGGTGATCAAAATACCTCAACGGCGCCAACGGCCGGACGTCCTTCCGCGCTTCGTGTGAAGGTCCCGGTCCCAAAGGTCCGCAATGATTCTTCACAGGAGGGATTTCTTCAAGAAAACCATGGTTTCCAAGTTTTCTTGTGAGCGGTCTATGCTGGTTCGTGTCTTCATAACGCTCACAAGAGAACTTGAAGGATGCTCACAAGACTTGAATCTTTCGTGATTAAGGCAAAAAATCACAACGCTTGCCTTCATCAACGCTTGCACCCCGGTGTGGTTCTTGTGCATGCCATCTTCAGACACGACCCGGACCCGGGAATTGCTAAGGAGCCCTACTTGAGCCGCAGAGTGTCGGCCACACTGATGCGAACGGTTGGGTCGAAGGTCACCATGCGGCACACCACCTGCAGCCGTCACTCGCCAGTGCCAGCGCCGTCGCCAGTGTTTGTTCGTCTGACAAAGGAGGGGACGCAAATTGATTGCACACAGGTGAAGCCAATGGACGCTCCCTACCAGCCAATCGACGCTCCCTATCGGGTGCAAAGGATGGGCACTCTCGTCTGAATGAGCGGCTGTTGCCGGAGGTCTAGGAACGATGTTCTCACTAGACTGGGTGAGCAAGTGAGCGTTCAAGTGAGTTTCAGTACACTGATAAGCACATCCCACTGCCCAGAGTGCAGCCTCAATTGCATTGTCACTGGCCGTGGGAAGGGCTTGCTTCCAATTAACCTTGAAAGACAAGGCCCAGCGAGACCCGGGGGAAGTTCAACAAAGTCATGACACGTGTCTCGACTTTGGTGAACATCCGACTTTCATGCAAGTTCCAAGCAAGACGTGAACGGCAGTACAACCCAAAATTGCAACTACAGTATATGATGCAACTATATGCAACTCTAGTACAGTATGTGGGAGAGCCCCCAGACTGGCTTCCAAATCTGGGCATCAAACCCTACAATGCCCCCGTCGTCGGATTGCTCAGCCCTTCACCTTGGGCGCGCTGGGGCACTTCACCAGGAAGGACCGAGCAGTGCCCCCTTCCGGCAGCCATTTGGTTTCCGCCTGGAGCGGGAGAATCCGAGAGAATCCAAGAGAATCTCCAGTGCCTGCTGTGCCGAATCTGTGGATTTGATTACAAGAATCTCCCACTGCAAGAAGATATCGAAATAATAAATAAAAATAACAACCGCTCCCCAATCCCCAAGACTTCCAAAAAGCAGCCGTCGTGTTTACCGGCGTTCGCTTCCCAGCTGCCCGCACCGCAAAAACAAGAACGATCTGCGCCTCCGTGGGCGTGCCCAAGGTGGCAATGATCTTCCGGATCTGATCCACGTGGTCGTTCCCTGCGGGCCCGTTTTCTGTGCGGGCGGACCCACCGTGTTTGTTTCGGTCGGTAACCCCCACGAGAGAAAACCGCCGGGTGAAGGGGGTGAGGGTGGAGAAACGAACGTCGGAGGTGGAAGATGTTGAAGGCCGGAGAATGGAGATCCATGGAGATCCTAAGCATTGCTGTCCCTCCGCTCAGAGGAGGCACTATGGCCAACACGATGAACAACTTAGGCAGGAGGAAAACGGTCGTTTCATCATTGCATCTGCAAGGCAATGTTCATAATGTTCCATGTCCGTCAATGTCCATGTCATGTCAGTTTGTGGGAGGGACCAGTAGCCCAAATTTCCAAGACCATGTTAGCCGTGGTTGTTCATCCGTCTTCTTCATCCACTGGGCCTTGAGCTGGCGTGCGGTTGGGGGTACGGGTCAAGGCAAGAAATCACTTCAGTAGTCGGCCTCTTTATGCCGGTCTTGACATAGTTGACCCACAAACCCTTCTTTCAGGTTTCGCAAACGTAAAAGCTTCATCTGCGTAAATCACGGATGTCGAAAGACTGGTATTTGACTAGTGTACTTTATTTTGGGGGGCCGCTCCCCCCTCCCTACTTAATTAAGGAATAAAGATGTAGCTACCACCTGCAAGTAGCTACTACTTAGGACGCAGGATAGCTCGCACTAATGATTCGGTTCGTAGACTTTTAGGGAAACTTAAGGTTCCACAGTAACAAGGAAGCTACTAGAAACAAATGGCATCGCTACTAGGAGCAAAAGAAGCTACTGGTAACAAGGTGCATCGCTAGTAGTAACAAGAAGCCACTAGTAACAAGGCGCATCGCTAGTAGTAACAAGAAGCTACTAGTAGCTCATGGCATTACTACTAGTAACATAGTCCATGTTCACTTCCAGCTCCTCGTGTTAATCACCGAGGCATTGGCGGCACACCGCCTCTCAACTCTACAATAGACCAGCGCGTTGAGACCGGTGCCTGCAAACAGCGGCCGGCGCATGATCAGCTCACAGAGGATGCATCCAACGGCCTCATCGGCGGCCGGTGGAACCACGGCCCCGGGCAGCGTTCGATGACTCGCTACAGAGCAGTTGCCATCCCGGCAGAACTGCTGATGCGAATGGAATTGATTCTTCGGGATCAATGACAATGAAATTGGCTTTTGATGTCAGCCAGATGGCATTCAACACTACCTTTCAGGCCCCAGCCCACACATCGATGGCCACAGTGTACTCTGCAGAATGAAGCATGACCTCTCAGAGATACCAACGCTGCGGCGTTGTGTGCGGTTAGGACGTGTGAACGCACCTTCCGCCCGAATGGAAATCACTCATCCAAATCTCGAATCAACGTAAAAGGTCGAAGTCATCCGCTTCTGACCTTCCGCGTCCGGAGCACGCCCACCTCCGGAGCACGGTACCAACGCGTCACCACATAGTCGGTGCGCCCCAGCGCATCCTCGGACTCGGTCGCCAGGACCCTGGAGAGGCCGAAGTCGCAAATCTTCAAGTCGCAGTTCTTGTTCACCTCGGCCAAGGACGAAGCAACGAAGCCAGGAGAGAAGAGGACGAATCCACGAAAAGGACCGAGAACAGGACGAGCTGGGAAGCCCGGCAAAGCCAAGGGGTCGGAAAAATCCGGTTGTTTGGAGGTAGGGCCCTTTGTTTTCCTCCTGAGAGTCGGGTCATTTAGCGTCAACAATCTGGGACGCTTCGAGGCATCTGCCTTTCACATGATTTGTCACATGAGAAAACCCTTGATGAGCGCACTTCTGTGGAGAAGGGGTGGGTCACGGATGGGTCCATTCCTTCGATTCCGTTCGATGAGAAACCCACACCAGATGCCTGAGGGCCACACAAGTAGATTCGAAGGCTTGATGTCTCGATGCCTGAGGTTTGGTGTTATATAATACAGAGGCCATCGCTAGTCGGTTGGAGGCCATCCCGCTATTCGATTGGATTGAAAACGACTCCTTGTTGGAGCATTCCTTGTTGGTCGAGCCACCCCCACTTCATCTGACACAACCACGGAGCCCACGGAGAAGTGCGTTTTTCATGTTGTGAGGGATGTTTCATTTTGCTGTTCAGGGTTCAGGGATGAAGAGTAACCACATGGGTTCTCTCGATTCATTTTGCCCAAGACTTCTGAAAGACAAACCATGAGCCGCGCAGTACCTTTTCTCAGGTCAGTACACGATGTTTGCACTGTGCAAGTACGCGAGGCCTGATTCAAGCCAACAAACTCAGAAATAAACAAGAACTGTCGAAATCCTTTTGATGGCAATTTCCTGCCACCTACTTCTGAAAGGAAGTCTTGGAATTTGCGGGCGAAACCCATCATGGAAGACCACGATCAAAGCTGTGAAATCTGAGGTTGAGACCCCGCAAGACTTGATGGACAAAGTACTGATGATGTTCCTCCACAAATGTCGGGTTGGGACATCAGGTCATCAGGTTATACCTCTTCTTGTTGTTGCATTGGGGTTTAGAAAAACATGCCAAAAGACCACTTACTTGGCTGCAAGAAAGGTCTTACTAGCAGCTTCACCAACCAAATCGAGCAATGTTTGGCTGCCTGGCCAGGTGGCCTGCTGATCTTTACTCAGCCAGGAGGTTACTCAGCCAGATCTGCTGCCAGATCTGCTAAGCAGGGGCAAGCCTCTGTCAAGGGCTGCTTGGAGTAGATCACCCGATGCAAATCCTCAGGTTTTGCAAACATCTGTCACCCAAAATGACCACAGAACACGGGAATACTGAATCTTGGGTCAGGAACCAAACCAGGAATACTCAGAAGTACTCAGAATACTTAGCAATACTCAGAAATGTTACTGGTTCGGGAATACTCTGGAACCAACCAGCTTCGCTTCTCGATTTATTGACCCAGAATCTGGGTTTAATGATTGCAGAACAAAGATTCGACAACTGAAATCATCGAATTCCACAGTCATATCTAGCTATGGTTTGCCGCAGTAGGGCAATTGTCATATGTGAAGTGCGAAACATCCCAAACACTTGTCCATGCCGTCTTGCGGTGATCACTGTTGGGTTCCAGTCTCTCTTCATGGGAAAGTCATGGAAAAATCCCTTCCATTCTCAGCCAAAGAACAGTCTCCATGAGATCAGTGACAATGTAGATATCCTGCAGCTCCCGGCACTTTCTTGAGTCCATGAACTGAGTTTCTCGCTGAATCTTCATCTGATTGGAATCTTTCTCCGCGAAATCGCTCCATGGACTCGTTTCCTCGTCCCAAAAACCGACCGGTTCCACCAGAGTGAATTGTTGTTCTGCTCGGCCTCGAAGTCAGGCCCCGCAGGCGGATACATGTCAAGGATCCGAATGATGTTATCCTCCAGAGAGGGGCGACTGTGGAAGTCATAGGCGTTTCAACCACGCGCTTCAACCACGCTGGTTTTAGGCCCGTTGTCTCAATGATCTCAGAGATTCCTGAGAAAATGTGCTGGCAAGGAGATCTGGATTATCAAATCATGGTGGGTTTCCAAACATAGCAATAGGCTTATTTAGGTTTACTGGGACAGTAGCGCCACAAGCAACGTCCTTTTCCAAGGATCTTTATATGCGGTTGTGGGTCAAAACCCCGTACTGCTGATGGATCCCGCCATCAGAATGTAGTCTTCCTGAAGTGTTAAGCGAATTTCACTTACCAGTTTTGGTCTGCTCTTGGCCGATACCCATGGTTGCTTTGCTGAGTGGGATCAGACGTCTCCATTCTCAGCACCCACATCCCCACGACATGCGCCAAAACGATGAAAGCGTGAATACAACCTACGTTCGTAGCGTCCTCTTGTTCCGTTCGTAGTAAGGCCAGGAGCCCCGTTCGTAGCGTCCGAACGCTCCGTTCGTAGCGATGCCAGGAGCCCCGTTCGTAGCTTCTTGTTGCTGTGAGAAGCATTACAACCTGTGTCATTGCTCTCCTGGAGCAAATGTCCTTTCACATGAGCACATCAGCATATCTCAAAGTCCTCCACACATCCCCGCTACTTCTACGCGCAGAACGAAAGACTAAGCCGTCCGACATGATCCAGTTGCCTCAGGAGCTTGACCTAGCAGATGTCGATCAGAATCAGAAATGTACTTACTCTGCAATTGCAAATAATAGAGCAACAACCTAGAAGAAGCTTTGATCGTGTAGGACGGTAGACCCGGAGACATGGTGAAAGTGGGAGAGCAAAGAAGCGGATGGCATAATTGAGACGAGGTTTGAAGGAGAAGTTGCAATCAATTGAAAAGCCGGCTGTTTTCCGCATGTCTTTCAAAAGCGAGTCTTTCATGCCGAAGTGGTCTTAGTCTTGAGTTTTGGTTGGGTGGTCAAATTGCCAACGGGATAAGTACTTTTCCAGTTGCAAAGCGATCAAATCAACCTAAGAGCGATGGCCTCCAACCACATAGCGATGGCCTCCAACCTACTACCCTATGAAACCCTTTCTGCGATCAGAAACCTGATCCTGTCCACTCAGCTCCACTTTTCGCCTCACGCAGAATCCGCTTCCCATCCACCTGGGATCAGAACAAGAGATACCCTCCCTCAAACCGTCTCACCCCTCAGCAAGATCACAACCTTTTCACAGCACAGGGTTGGGAGACGAGAAGTTACCTCTATGATGTGCTTAGCCATGTGCTTACATGGCACTCTAGTTGCATAGTTTGGTAGAGTGCACTGGTGGCCGGTGAAAATCCAGCAACATCAAGGACATGCTTTGGGGATAGCCGGGATAGCTCAACTGTAAGCACTCAAGGACAGGATTGTGTTTTTTTCTTTTTGTCGACAGTGGTGAAGGGATTTGTCCATCTAGAGGATCACCAAGTCATCCTCTTCAAAAGATCTCCTGTCAAATTCTAAGGGTCGCATGAGAACTCCGTCGGTTTTCGTCTTTACCCATGCAGCCGATGTAGTTTTTGTTCAGGGCGCAGAGACTTCTCCCACACACCCGTGCAACGAGAAGTCCACTTCTCGGATCACCTCTCTCAACCGAATCTTCTGGACCAAGTCAAGTGCCTGTAGCTTCCCAGGGTTTCTTCCTTTTCGTTTTTCTTTGTTTCTAAGAGCGATGGCCTCCAACATACTGGCCTCCACGATTGCTGTCTCGAGGTGACAATTGTTCACACAAAAAAGAAAGCCCGTAGATATGGATCTGATTGAAATCACTTGGGGAGAATTATCTAGAGCAATGGCCTCTGCGGAGGGACGCTATATATATATATTATAAAGTATATCATATAAGTATATTGAAACTTGCATCAGTCCGGCTCAGGCTCGTGCCAGGTCATCAAAAGCGTTGGTGATCTTCTTGACCTCGCATGCCATGGAGGTAAACCGTAGACCTCGTGTGCCTAACACCCTGGTCATTGTGGAGCATCTCTTGATCGAACATGCCCCGAAAACGGTCCGAACAGAAACATGAAGTGTCAGGAACCTCAAGAGTTATTGGTGATCTGTTACTAGTGGTACTTCATGAGTCATGGAGAACAAAACCATTCCGATTGCAGGGCTATCAACATACTAGTACCTCCGTGTCATCACCCGTGTCATCACCCCACGTGGGGAAACAGGGCTCTGCACCCAATGGACTGCTACCGCAGGGCCTTTCCAGGCTACGACTGGCCATCAGAAAGCTGTGGCCGTGATGACCCCCGTGCAGTGGCCGCGATGCAGCGACCATTGCGGTGCGATACGGGTGATTAAGCTCACAAACATGTTAACATTTCAGAGAGGAATTACCCAGCACATTTTGGGACAATGGAAAGCTACCTACTGGTAGGATGGAATGTTGTGGTACCCTTACACTTGAAGAGACAAAATCACCATGGAACTGGAGGTTTTAAACCCAGCGCCAGGGTTCTTTGACACCTCATGCAGCAAAGCTATCACTCAAAACAATTGCGTGAGAAAAAACACGTGTAGTGGCTGGACATGCAGGCAAGTTTTGAGGTCTACACCGCCATTGTCTCTCCGCTCCTTTTATCCTCAGCCAGTCAAATCAGTTGAGTGAAGCATGCTTTTGAGTGTCCACAGCATCATGTGAAGTTCGAAGGCTTTGAACGAGTTGCTTCAGAATGTTTCAGAAGCAACTCGTTCAGCATGCGTGCCTTGAAGGAGGCCACACAGCCATAGGCTCCGGAACCTTTGAATGGAAGAAAGTGCAAAGAAATTGAAGGTTCTCTAGTTCTTCTAATATCGGGCTCAGCAAGTCTGGTTAGCAATCTGGAGAAAAAAAGCCATGTGCCAGCTTCAAGACGCGGATTCTTCGATCATGCTGAGTTCGCGGCCCACTTTCTTCAAAAGTTCAAGATGCTTTGGGACGCGGAAGGTCGACTTCCCATCCTGACGTGCACGAAACCCCCCGACCGATGCACGCAACAGATGCGGGGTCCATGGTACTTGTCGAGTCAAGGCCCAAATCGCCGCATGATCCGACGTATCAACATACACTCTCTGATCTCAGGCGTCTTCTGGCAACCAAGAGTGCCTACCACAAGCAAGTACTCCTTTTTGCAGATCACTTCTGACCAATCAACCTGCACTTCAGCAAGTTTACGATGCAGCTCACCACGCGAGGCATTCAATGCGCAGAGACTCTTGTCATCTTCCAATGCCCAGCTTTGGCCATGTCTTCTCTCCAGCTCAGGAAAGCGTTGCGATTCCAAGTAGAGAAGTTCCGTTGGAAGACACAACTCCAGACCTAGGTGTGGTCTAGAGTCTAGAGTCTAGAAACCAGAGCAAAAGCCAACGAGAATAGTTAGCAAGACCATGTCATGTGCGCTGCAAGACCCCGATCTATTTGTTTCGACCCTTTTGAACGTTACCAATCCATCCCACCTGCTCCATGGTAGACTGCCAACGCACGGCCCAGGAACTGCAGGGCGTCATCGGCGCAGCAGCTTCCAGCGACCTTCACCAGCACAAATTCCTTTTGGAAAGACATCCTCAGCGCTGTTTTTAGGCGGTTGACATCTCTTGACCACTTGCAAAAAGGAGGATGAAGCGAACTATGCATTATACGGAGAGAGTAGGGGCCATTTTGCATGCCAGCTGCGCTGTCAGCCCTACCTTTGAGACTTACACCTTGCACCCATTCCAAAGCTCCCAGTTGGTCCAACAACTGATGCTACCATATGCTACCTGCTGCTTTCCAAACCCTGCCTTTCGATCATCTTCATCTGGAGATCTTCCAGCTCCGCTTCCTTCTGCACCTGGTTCAAGCTCTGCTTGAAGCTCCGATAAATCTTCTGCCGTTCGGTAAAGTCTTCCAACTCCTCATGACACAAGGCCTCGAAGGGAAGCAAGTAAGCAAAGTGCTGGATGACTAGACTTTCCGGCCAGTCTGAAGCCATTGCTTTACCTCAGATTTCAGAAAGGCCAAATCTTATAAATCTGAAGGAATTCAAGCTAAAAGAAGGCGGGGGTGTCCTTTATAGTGACGGACAAACTCTTAGAACATTGCTTTTCCAAATGTGAAAAGCGGGATGCGGACCTTTTCGATGTAATCTCGGGCCTATACATTTGCGGTTTGTGCGTGTCATCCTTATGCAGTTCATGCATGAGTGGATGTCCTTATGTCTCCTGCATACATTCTATCACGCCCTCTCCACTCAAGCATTTGCTGCAAATGGATGTACCCTCTGCCTGTGCAAAATGTGGGCAGTTAGGGCTGAAGTGGATTTTGAAGCGGTTTCCCTTGACTGTCCTGTACATCAGTCTCTCGCGCATCAGTCTCTGACCATGTTGGTCTGAAATTTGAAATTGTCGGAAAATGTCGTTCCGCTGCTGCCTGAGGTCTTTTGCTTGCTCTTCCAACTCAATCACATACTCTTCCAGTCGAATCACCTCGGCTTGCAGCTCTTCTGTTTGTTTCTTGTAGTTCTGGATCACTTCGGTTTCTAGCCATTCCGTGGCTTGGATGCACTTCTCTTCCATCGTCTTTTCTTCATCCTCCTTGTAGTTCACATACTCCTTGATCATGGTCTTGATGACCTCATTCATGAAGTCCAAGCACTTCTTCAGTGCATGCTGCACAAGACCATGCCGCAGCCAATGCACCAAGCTCAAGGCCCCGATCAAAGCCAGTGAACAAAATGCCCACCAACTCCATTCTCCTTCCATTTCATCATCCTTTCCATTCACTTTTGAACCTGCCGCCATTTCCATATTGGCCATCATCATCAGCAGGCCAATATGCAAGTCCTTCTTTCCTTTCATGACTTTCTTCAGGCCTCGTTTCATCTGCTCTCGATGCTCCATCTCCTGGAACTCCTCTCTTCCAATCTTGTCTCCTGAGCTGTCCACCATCTTCAGCATGTAGAGAAGCCCAAAGAGCCTTCTTCGTGTCAATGACTTCGTCCCGATGTCTGCTGAGTTGATCTCAGTGGGGATGGCGCTCACCGCCAAGACCTTCTCTTTCTCCTTCTGTTGGATCCAAAGGAGGGCGGCATCCAAATGCCTCACACGGCCAATCCCCTGTCGTTGGACCATGGCTCGCGCTGCAGAGCTGTCGCTCCTCACTTTCATCTCGAGCTCCTCCTTGGTCATCTCCATCCATAGGTGGCGAACAAGTAGTCCGTCTGAGCAGCCACCCACCATTGCCACGAACTCTGATTCTCCCGACGACAGGGAGATGCTCTTCTGGCTCCTGACTCGGGATTCCATCAAGTTGCCGTCCAGGAACACCTGAAAGGACGTGGTACTTTTCCTGTCGTTCTTGTTGCCAGCATAGTCGGCATCGGTCACAATCTCCAGCAGATGCCACTGCTTGTCTTCCACCTCATCAATCTCCCTGGTGTCCATGACCGATTGTCCTTTTGCTCTTGCGCTGAGCCGGATGCCAAATCCCTCGGTGCCCTGGAGGTAGGAGCATACATGCCATGCTGTCTTCCATGCTTGCTGGGTTGGCTTTGCCATGTATCGTGCCATGCTCTGGATTGCGAACTGGGCGTCAGGTCTTTCTCCAGCCATATACATCAGCCTTCCTACCACACTTCTGAACCTTGTCATCTCTGCACCTTGGAGCTCCTCACTTGTGTCCTTCTTGGTGTTCTGCTCCAAAGGTGTCTTGCGGTAGGCCTTCTTGAAGACATCGACGTCCTTTGAGATGCTTTCGTACTGTTTGTAGTCGCACCGGATGTCACATTGTTCTTCCAGCAGCTTGAACTCGCGCTTCAGGTAGTGAAACCTTTCTCCCATGCGGAAGGGTCCTTTGGCCTCCACATTCCATTTCATCGTCTCCTGCAGGAAGTTGACGAAATCCATCAGTGCTCCTTCTCTGCCTACCATGAACACGTCGTCCACATGCACCGTGATGTAGATCTCTCGGTGCTTCATAAGCAGAGTGGGCTGCATGATGTTCTGGCTGAGTCCAAAGGCCTTTGCCGTTTCAGCAAACAACTTGAACCATTGCGAGGCAGCTGTTCTCTGACCAGGCAAACACCTGATCAAGCGGTAGATCTTGCCATCAAGTTCAACAAAGGCTCGCTCCTCTTTCGGTTGCTCAGCCATGAGGAATGCATCTTTCATGTCCAGGGTCATTGCTGTGAACTCCTTGAAGACATTCAACATCAGGTGGATGAGGAGTTTTGGCACTACAAGCATTGACGTGGGTGCAAACGTCTGCTCGAAGTCCACGCAGTTCTTCAACTGCCGTGCCACTAGCCGGGCTCTCCTGAACCATCCTCCTTGTTCCACCCGATGCTTCCAGCCGACTACAAACTTCGTTGAGATGATGTATCCTCCTGAGCTCTGGACATCATCTTCATTTGCCTCCTCCATCACTGGGATCTTCTTGAGTCGGCTCACTTCATTTTCCTTGGCCTCCTTGTCCATCAGCATCAAATGCTCCTCACTTGTGATGGGTGGCTCATCTGCTTCATCTGGAGCGTAAAGCAACTCCTCGGTGAGATCTTCTGGAATCCATTCGTCTCCCATCTCCTCATCTCCGTGGGCTTCAATGGCTTGCACACCAGCGTACTGAGGAGGATACAGCCTTGGGATCTTACTTGGTGATGTTGGGACTGTTCTGTCATGCTCATCAGCTTCTCTCTCCCTCACAATCCCAGATGGTTGGCTGACACCCTCACCTCCTTCTGTCTTCTGCTTCTTTTCGCCCTCTTCTTCATCACCTTCAATTTCGCGCTTGTCGTGAGCTCTTCGAGGTGATGTCTCCGCGGCAACCTTCTTTGCTTCTGCGCCTTCTTCCTCATGTTCACCTGCTCTCTTCGTCCTAGGCGTTGTCGAGGTTGGTGCAGGTGTCGCTGGCGCAGCAGTTGGTAGGCTAGGCATACCTGGGGTCGTCGGTTGAGCCTTCGATCCAGGTGCTGGAGTGACAACTCCTGCTGCAACCGCCTCGGTGACTGCCCTCATCTCTTCCTCTGTAGCCTCCATCTCCAGAGTTGGTTGTCTGTATCGTTGGGCTTGTCCACCGTGTTTCATCATGATGCCTTGAGGCGAATAGCTCCACGGGAGACCCTTGGCTATGACCATATCTGTGGCTACAAAGCTCTCCTCCATGGCCAGTCTGTGGATTGTCCTTGACTCAAACGCTCCCTCGGGGGTCAAGAATGACATGGGCGTCGTTCCATTGGTTCTTTCCAACCCAAACTCCTCTGTGGAAGATGTCATTCCCTTTGTATTGAGTCAGCTTGCGAAACATCACACTCTCTCCAAACAATGCAAGCTTCCCCCTGTAGCTGTGTCCTGTTGCCAACTCGTAACTTGTACGACCAATTTTGTCCAGGACTCGAAACCTGTTAACCAGGAATGAGGCGTAGCGGAATGACCAAGGATACATGTGGAAGCTGCCGGCTATCTGAATGAATGCTTTGCCCTCTGCAAATGATCGAAGGCAGTTTGCCAGCTTTCGTACTGTTTGTACTCCACGTTCTGCTTGGCCATTTGACTCATGCTGTCCACTGCCTGTCAACCTGATCTCGCAAGGCAGACCCATCACTGTTCTGACTTGTTGCACTGTCCTGAGCACCTGTCGCATCGCCCTCTCCGAGTCGCCTTGGAACACACATGGATCTCTTGAAGAGTTTTCCAGTGAGAACCTGATGACCTCCTCCGTGACAGTCTTCAAACTTGCAGTTCCTTTAGAGGGTATTGGCACGACGTAGATTGCCTTCGTTTCCGATGAGGTCATGATGAGGCATGTCCCATACTGGTCTGACCTCTCTGCAACCTTGTCAGGTGGCTTCTCATCCAATCGCCTGTCCTCACCGGTGTAGGTGAAGAAGAAGTCCAGCTGGATCACGTTTCGTCCCAGGTCAGGTTTCTCCTCTCTCAGCTTGCGCTTGTCCTCTTTGGCTCGGCTGGCGACACAAGCTTGGCACCATGCTGCATAGGGGATGTGGGTCACAAAGTGTGCCTCTTGATCCTTCAAAGATGGTAGCTTTGGCTGTCCCAGGGTCATGGGCTTTCGCTGCTGCTCTTGGAACAACTTGTTGGCGATGGAAAGCTTCAACTTGTTCTCGATGTTGATCTTGAAAGCCAACAGTCTGTCGAGCAGCCTTCGTTTACTGCCTGTGTGTGGCAGCTCGCGTTCTTTGCAGGCCATCTGCAACTCCTTCACCGACATCTTCTCGGTGTAAATCACCTCATCGAGTTCAATCTCATCTGGCCTGTCAGCCACCACCATCTTCTCGGTGTCTTGAGCCTCCAGCTGCATTTCCAACTCCTCCTCACCTTCTCTCTCGTCCTCTGACCAATCCAATCTTCCTTGAGGCTCTCTCCTTCTCTTCAGGGTATGGCCTGATGGGGACCTCGGAGTTCATCTCCCAGTAGTCCTCCATCTCTGAGGGTGCGAAAAAGCTCAACGTCCTCAGGGGTCCTCCTGTCCCCAATCTCCTGAATGCCGTGGGCCCCAACTCCATGTAGTCGCCGATGTTCTCCACTTGGCTCCACATTCCATCGGCATCTTTCACCAAAGTCATGCGGGCCTTCCAGTGGTCTTCAATCTGGCCTCTTGGATCGGTCATGGAAACTGCCATTGGGTCACTGTAGGCGACGATGCCATTTGGAAGTCTGTGCCATCCAGGTGCCATCTCTAACTCCTCAATATACTTGCTCAATGTCCCCCTCAGCATCAGCACTCTTGCTTCTTGCCTGGTCCCATTGTCCTTCTTCAGGTTGCTTTCGGGGGCAGTGACCACGAAGATGTTGGCTTCGAACTGCAATGAGTTTCGTTCATTTCGAATTGGAACTGACACATCTTTCTCTTCGTTCCTCAGACTCAAGCCATGATGGGTATTGCAAATGCTCCATCCTTTCCGAAGTAGCTTCCCTGCGCAAAGGATAGGATGCTGTACGTTGCCAAGGATGAACTCTTCCACCATCTCGATGGTTTTCCCTTTGCTATCAACTGTTCGTAGGCGGGCCTTCGTCACCCCATCATGTGCAATGCGTTTTCCTTGAGCATCAATCATCCTGAGCTCTTGTGAACCTGCCTTCCAATGCCCAACATCAGCATAGGCACGTGGCAGCACTGACACATCTGCTCCACTGTCAAGGGTGATCAGGCAGGACTCTTTTGCCTGTCTCCTCACGTCTCACCATCCGCACAAAGAGCTCTTCCTCCTCGTCTTGCAGGTCCATGGCCACAATGGTAGTACCACAGGGGACAGGTACTGCCGGTTCTATGCAGTCCATGAACACCTCCTCATCATCTTCCGTTTCCACGTAGTCCTCGGTCTCCTCCTCAACCAGGACCATACCCACTCGCCATGGGTAGCTCCCATCGTCCTCGGAGTCTCTTGGGGTGGTCAGATCGAAGACCTCAAGCGTCCTCGACTCCGGTGGGGTTTCCAACGTCACCATCTTCACTGCAGCCACTCCAGGCTGTCCTGACGAAGAGCTGGCTCCACCTGGATTGCTCTGGGTGGTAGTCACCTGCTCCTCAACCTGATTCACACTGGCCTTCTTCGACCAGCAGTCTTTCGCATAGTGTCCAATCTTGCCACAGACATGGCAAGCACCAGCTTTTCCTCCTTTTGCACCTCTGTCGGCGCTCTTCCCTTTCTTTCCAAGACCACCTTTCTCCCATAGGCTCTTGCCCTTCTCGTTGCTTCTCCATCTGTCTTCGTCTTTCCTTTATCCTTGCCTTTGGCCTTTCCTTTCATGTCTTTCGTCTTGCCCTTTCCTCCTTTCTTCCCTTTGTCTCCTCTGATGTAGTCCACCTCCATGGGTGTAGCTTCATCCATGCCTGCTCTGGTCGGCAGGCTGAGGCTGTTTGATGAGTCCCATCGTGTTGACAGTGCCTCCAATTCCATCACCTTGTTCTTCACCTGCTCGTAGGTTGTGGTTTCTGTGATCCACAGTTGTAGATGAGCTCGGAGGTGTGGAGGTACAGCTTGTAGGATTGAAGCTACTTTTGCATCATCTGCGTATGCATGCCCCGAAATCCTTTCATACTCATTCACTATGGACTCGTACTGGGGCAGCTGTTCGGAGAAGGTCTTTCCTTCAGCGAACTGTACCCTGGAAAGTTGGGTCAACAGGGCCAGTGCTCGGGCCCTTGTGGCCGGTTGCATTTCTTTCAACAGGCGTTGCCAGGCTTCAAAGCCGTTCTCATCCTTCATGTGGCGCACCAGCTTGAGGGGTCTTCCTCTCAGGTAGGAGCTCAGAACTCCATACAGGCGTACAGCCATGGCCTTCGTTGCATCCGTCATGTCATCGAAGGCGAAATCCCCTCCAAGGTTGTCCTCCACCATCTTCATGCTGTGTGCCATCTGAGGTTCAATCCCCTTCACATAGTTGACGAAGGAGAACTTCCAGTCACCCCACTGCTTGATCTCCTGGTCCCTGGTTTCGGGCTTGAACAAGTCGGGGGTCTTCATGTGCCTCGACCATGTCGTGGTCGTTTGGTTCACAGTCAGGCGGTCGAGGGCTTGTGAAATCATCCTCAAACTCTCCTCTGCCATTGTCCTGAGGTATGGGATGTAGGCCAAATAGGCCTTGGTCGTCACCTTGGGCTCAGTCACGTTCTCCTCGAAGACAAGGCCACCGTAGGAGATCAAACTGATGTAGTCCCAGTGAGCTAGCAGTTCACAAATGTCGTCTGGATCTGTCTGATCCCTGACTCTCTCAACCCTCTTGAGGAATTTCCAGCAAGCCGGGACAGTGACAACCAGCTGCAGGGTTTCCCCTTTCCTCTTTCCTTCCTTCCGTTGTTGTACGATCAGGGACGCTCGGATGTTCCGCTGATCTCGTACCCAGCGCAGCCTTCCCACGTACTCCTCAGTCTCCACCAGGACCGTGTGGATCCTCCTGACTTTCCACTTGTCTCCTCGGGCCACCAGACTTCCACCCTGGTAGTACCTCACCTCCTGGGAGAAGTTGTCTCCTGCTCCTCCTGCAAGGCAGGCCAGGATCAAGAGTTCCAGAATCCAAAAGCTGGCCTCCTTGCTCACCCTGGATCTTCTTCGAGTCGTCGTGGTAGCCCTCGTCGAGGTCGTGGTGCGGTACGTGGGTAGGGAGCGCCGGCGCTTTACGGCCAGCGCTCCGCTACCATGAAAAGCGGGATGCGGACCTTTTCGAGGTAATCTCGGGCCTATACATTTGCGGTTTGTGCGTGTCATCCTTATGCAGTTCATGCATGAGTGGATGTCCTTATGTCTCCTGCATACATTCTATCAAAATGACTAAACTCATGACTCAGAACCAAAAAATTGGCCATGTGGTTAGAACAAAAAAACTACACACGATGAACTCTTTTTAGAACACCGGCACCACCGCGAAGAACATATATACCCATCACTTAGAACACACAAAGATCTGGCTTAAAGATGTTTAGTGTTGCCTCCATGATGTTAAAACCTACATGGAGAGCCTGCGCTTAGAACATACCAAAGTCGCGTGCGAAACTCTCTAGATGGTGATAGTGGAACACCCCCAAGTCTGCAGCCAAAACTTCATTTTCCTCAAGGGTGTGCCCCACCCCCAGAAGTGGTATTGCCTGCCCGATGGGCGCTGCATGTGGCTTGGCCCTCCGCTGAATGCTGAGAAAGAACAAAGAAATATATCACATATGTATGAATACGTGTGAGTGGAGTATATGTATATATATATATATTCATGACAGCGCAGAACACCAGAACCTCAGTACGGAGAACCACGAGTTTCTTCAAACACTGTGCAGTAGATCCTCTCGAAGAATGCATATTGTGAAGGCATTGAGACATTGAGTGTGGGTGTGTATATATGCATACGTATGCCGCACATGGACAGCTTGCATAGTGAAAGCAAGTCTTTGTGCAAGCAGCTCAAAGCCAAGAACTGCGAACCAGCAGCAGTGCAAGCACACTTAGAACGTCTTGTCGCACATTTATTGACTTCCAAGTATGAACATGATGCTTGAAATCCACACATGTTCTTAGTCTGTGGTTCTCTGTGTGCGGTTTTTGAGTCCACGTTCTAAGTCCACATTGTAATCATGTTCTGAGTCTGGCGCTTAGAACACACATCTTAAAGAAATAGTACATAAATAAAATAAGCATTTAAAAAAGAACTTTGTCCAAATGATGTTCTAAGTGGTTGTCTACCACTATAAACGAAACGGTTCTGTTTGGCTGCCTGAGGTGCTCACTGGCACACAGCCATGCAAAACCAGTCCTCTCTCTGAAGAGGTCTCTCTCAAATGCTGCAATAAGGCATTTCCTGTTGGAGCACATGACATCTTTGCAAGAATCATGACTGCAACTGATGGACAACAAACGTCGCTGTTGGCCAATGAACCTTGGTGCTCATGTGTGATTAGCTGGATATTCTCTCCCACCAAAGCCAATGTGCCCAGAAGCATCTCCTTCACCTCGCTCCATGTCATGGCAACTGGCAGGCCAAAAATCAGCGCATAGATCTGAGGTTTTACCTCCTTCAAGGACTCAAAGCCCCTCAAATCCGTTTCAGCCACAAACCTCATGCAAGTCGAAGATCCACGGATGTGCGAGAAGAGTCTGTTCCTGCTGGCAAATCCAGCCTTGCAGCAACGGCATACAAAGCTAGCCTCCTCCAGGTTCAAAAAAGGGCAACCGTTCTCCAATTTCTCTCGGTATCCTGAAGGCTTGTAGTCATCCTGAAGTTGATCCAGTTCAGGAGAAACCTTGCTGTTGCCAAGAACGGCCCGATCAAAGGCCTGCTCGTTCTCCGGCTTCTGAAAGAAGACCTTGAAGGGGTCAAAATCTGTTGACTCGCCCAAATGGATCTCAACCATCGAAGCTCCATCCACATCACAAGGACCTTCCAATGGAATCTCCCGCACCCAGGGCTCCAGCGACTCCACCCCCTCCTCGACATCACGCGATACTTCAGAGGCTGCAGCCACACACAGCACAGCAGCAACCAACTTGAAGTTGGAGATTCCATAATCCTTGAGGCTGTGGCAAAGCCTCCCAGCAAGCAGCTATCGGATGACAGGAGTCGGTCAATCTTCCATTCAGGGGCTATCTTGCGGATCGTCACTATGACCCCCAGCGGTTTGCCCAAAGGACGCCAGCAATCTTGCGGTGGTTTGCTCACCAATGCCTATCCGCCTGTAAAGACATGTAAAGACCCGGGCCACCGGCGGCCCACGACAGGTGGCCTTGAAATCTCCGTTGGCGCGAAGAAGGCCCAAGATGCTTTCGTCGGAGCCTGGTGGATTGACACTGATGGACGGGACTCGACAGGGCGCGCGCGGCTTTCGTTCGACAGGGCATCGGCCCAGCTCATGACCTGAAGAGGAGAACTTCTCCACTTTAGGGTTGAGACTTCTTTTCGGGGTTCAAAAAAGAAGATGGCATGCGTATATACCAAATTATATACATATAGTATATAGTATAGTACATCAGTGGTTAGGCAGCGGAACAACCTCCCATTCGAGACACTCGCCGGTATAGGGATGCAAACCCCTTGGTCCTGGTATGTGTGCAGCTCCCACTAAACCTCACCACCCCAAGCTTATCCTCAGTTCTTCAACTCATCTTCAACCCCTCTCAATACTTGGTTACTTTCTTCACCCTCCCCACCTTCAACTTTGGTGCCTTGATCTCCTCCAACTTCTCCGGCGAATCCACAAAACAGCTCACCACGAAGAGTTTCCGCCCCGGCGATCGGGCAGCGACCCGAAAGCGCTCCACACAACGCTTCAGGTAGTCGTGGTCCTCGTTTTCTCCAGCGACCGGTGACATCTTTTCGTCCCCCAAATTGGAACCAGAAGGAAGCTTCTAGTAACTAGAAAGCTTTATTGTTACTAGTTACTAGTAGCAATGGCCAGAAGCTCATTTCCACCTCACCCTCCAAGATCAATCGACTCGTGAAACGAAACGACCGCATCAAACCCACAAAATTGCATGGTGCCCACAACCTCACCTGGCGCTTTCGCAAGGGGTCATGGTGCAACCAGGTGAAGCCTTGCCAGCGATTTGGCAGCCGCTGCTCGGCGTAGCGTCGGTGCCCACAGCCAGAGCCTGATGGGTTGACCCCAGAACGTCTGGGGTCACTCCCCGAAACTCCATGGATGGTGATCCACTTGTTGCACAGTGACAGACCTGGAATCCGTGGATTCCTCAAGAACAAA